AAAAGAGAGAAGACAGACAGGAATTAGGACGGGGAGAGGAAGCAGAGAAAGGGGCAAAAGAGGGGCGGGGGGGGGGAGGGGGGGGGAGAGAAAGGGGAAAGGAGCAAAAGGGGGGGAGAGAGGCTTGGAGGGGGAGAGTAAGGGGGGGAGCGATGGTAAAGGGAAATCAGCGGAAAGCATACATGAGAGAAGAGGGCCAGAAGAAGGACGAGAGAAAGAAAAAGTGCACCGCGAGAGGAATGTGCAACATAGGTATACAACAACGCTTAAGACAGGTGAGAGGGGGGGGGGGGGGGGGGGGGGGAAGCGAGAAGGGGGTTCGGGGGAGGCGGAAGAGATGATTAGCTGATATCAAAGATTCTCACCTGGGCCATAAATCGGGGTATAACCCGATGAAAAATGGACCCCTTGTACGCCAATGGCCTTTTGGTGATCTTCCCAACTCCTCTCTCGCCTGTCATCCATCCATCCATCCATCCATCCAAAAATCAGACTCCCGTTTAATTTCACACGCACTAACTACACCTACTAAGGGCATACTCACACTAGGACTTTTTCACGTGTTTGGGGACGTAATTGCGGTCAGATGCATCCACGTCCACCCGTAAATGTGGTCAGATACATTTAACATAGAGCAATTGTGAGAACGTCCCGCCCTACTCATCACTGTCTATTCCATTTTCGTCATATTCCATCTTCTTCATTCCATTTTATTTAATTTTTATTCCATTTTCTTCTTCTCTTCGCTTACTTATCCCTCGCATCTATTTCTGTTCATCCCACATTATTTTTCTTTTTTTCTTCTTTTCCTTTTTTCTTTTTTTGCTCGATTTATGCGTGTAATCCTAGGACAGGGGCCATGCTAATCTTCTTTTTTTGCAGCCTTCCAATTTTAACGGATGTCCTGCAGGACATCCAGCATTATTTTTTTTTTTTTTTATGGGGTGATCACAACTGTCTATATTCTTCTCTCAACTTCTGTTTTTGTTTGCCTTCTACTACCTACTCCTAAGACTATCTAGAGGGGACCCCTGCAAGCATAGTTTTCCTCTCTCTGTGAAGGGGGGATTTCATGTTGCCCCTTGCCCCTAATGGTTAGGGTATAGGGTTGGGGCCGCCAGTGGGGGTCTGGCTAACACAAAGACCGAGACCTGCCAGTAGCCGTGCCTCCCTTTCTCATCGTCCCCCACCCTTCATCGAGTAGCAGCAGAGGCTACGGCCAACACTCTCCCACACACCACACACAACCCACTCGCGCTCACACTCACACCCATGTTGGTCATAGACCCCGCTAATACCGATCAGGGGTATCCAGAGGACTATCACAGTCCGTTGGCACTAAGTGCGCCCCAGGCGGCCATGGGGCTTGAACCCACAACCTCCTGAATGCCACTTGCATGCCTAACCAACTGAGCTAGGCCGCATCCAGCATTATTTTCAAATCCGACATTTTTTATTTTTTATTTTTTCCAGATGGAATTTTATTTCGAACGGGCCCGGTGCCCAAGGCTTACATCAACGTAGCAGAGGATAAGACGAAGGTAGCAATCTACACAAAAACGCTTCTTTTGTCTACACAATTGACTCAAAAAACGGAAGCAGCAGCCAATGGCAGACGAAGATCAAAGGGGCAAAAACGCAAAAAGACAAAATGGAAATCGCAAAAGGTTCCAATCAATGCACATGGCAAAACGGTCAAACATTTTTCGTACAGGGATAACCTATCATTCCCCCCTCCCATCTCATTGAGTAAAATCCCTTTTTTCTCTCTTATACCCTAGTCTACCAGCCGGGCCGCACGTAGGAAAAGTCCAAAAAAAAAACTATGTTACGCAGAAAAATAAAGTGAACAACTTTTGCCTCAGGGTCACATCGAAACTCTTTACCAAATAAAACTTAAAATTTAAAGTTAAAAAACCTTTTTATTTCTTTTTTTTTTCTTTTTTTTGCCCCGGCCGAGCACCCGGGCCACTCTGATAGCCTAGCTCTTACCCTTAAAAAAAAAAAAAAAAAAAAAAAAAAAAAACATTTCAGTTGGTTCATCCGATTGCATCTCATTGCAGATCTGGGTTGCATCTCACTGCATCTCATTGCAGATCTGAGTTGCAGATCTTTGCATCTCGTTGCAGATCTTTGCATCTCATTGCAGATCTTTGCATCGCATTGCATCTGGATTCGAACTTGGGCCCGAATTTCAACAGGTCATGGGTGTACCGACAGATCTCGAATATTTTCAACTTCACTTTCCCGCCTTTTTTTTTTTAAAAATTATCGCAGCAGTCCATTCCCCGCCGACCCCACGTCTCATTCTTCTGCTTTTCCGCACAGATACATTCTCATCGGATATCCAAATCATATTTTAAGTTCCCGTTTTTCTCTCGGGATAATCCACATACAGATATATATATATATATGCACGCAAGAATTCATTTATGTCGAAAATAGCCTGAACCATCGTCCTATCATCCCACATTTTCTTGTGTTGTTCATTCTTCCCCGTATTTCGGCGTGCGTAGCGTAGGGGTGCTTTCATGTGGGACCAGTCATCCGGGTTCTTTTTTATTGTTTTGGCATCCTAGTTGTGGTTGCTTCCTGTTGTTCGGCCTGTGTGAGGGGGCGGTGCTTTGATGTGGGAATCGTCATCTGGGATTGCCTTTTATAGTGGTCCTGCGGGTTCTTTTCGGTATCCTAGTTGGTTGCTTCCCGTTGTTCGGCCTATCAATGGGGGCGGTGCTGTTATGTGGGAATCATCATCTAGGATTGTTTTTTATGATGTCCCCGTACGAATTGCTTACGATGACGCCGAATAGGAATGTCGAACAAGGCCATCTGCTGTGTATAGATATGTATCTGGGACTTCTTTTTTTTTTCTTTGCAGACAAGAATGTTTTGACATCCTGGTTGGTCTCGTCCTATCGTTTGGCTCTGTGTGTGTTGGGGCGGTGCTTGCATGTGGGACTTGTCATCTGGGATCTATCTGTTTTGTTGCCCCCTGTTCTGTTTTATTTGGCTGTTCCCTTCCTCTTTTCTTGCCTCTTTGCCTTTTGACTGTGTGCAAGTGGGTCGATATGACACGGGGGTGGGGGCAGCCGCCGCTCAACCTACATCCACGTGGGCGGCCTTGTACGCAAGAGGTTCTGAACAGGGGGAGTCTTGTAAGGAAGAGGATAAAAAACAGAATTCATTTTTTCTTGTTTTTCTTTCTTTTTTCCTTTTTGTTCACGTTTGTGCTCTGATACTCTTGTGGCAATATATATGTAATGTGTATACCTTTCTTTGTTTCCTAATTGTTTCGCTGGCTTGCGATGGTGTGTGGACACGACAGACAGTCTGTAGAGCTTTCCATCTGGTGTCGGGGTGAGTGATAGTCTGCTTTGATTTTCGTCACAGGTACCTTGAGTGCAGTGGTTGGTGGTCCCCACCCCCTCAGAGGGGTATCAGTTGTCGGGCAGTCGTTGATACTTAACCACAACCGGGGTTAAGGTGGATTATCACTTACAGTGCAATCAGTTAGGGGATTATGCAGACTGTTTTTGAGGCTTCAGCCTCTACTGATTGATGAGTAGGTACGTGAAACTCCGACGAAACAGTTTGTCACAGCCTCTCTTTTGTTGTCCTCTTCTCCTTCTCTGCCTACGGTTTACAGGGCAGCTATGTTTGACGATATGAATCCTAATTTAAGAATCACAGACCCTTTCAATCCAGTACATATGATGGCTTTTTCAGGCGCAAGAGGAACAACTTCTCAAGTACATCAACTGTCACATGATCCTCTTCTCATGCATTCCTCGAATACAACACATCCACACCTGACCCTAAAGCTGGGTTGTATACATTCACGATTTTCCTCGGTCTGGCACAAAATAAGATCCCTAAAGCTGGGATGCAAAGGCGGCCTTGTACGCAAGAGGGGCTGAACAGGGGGAGTTAGTTGTAAGTAAGAAGATAAAAAAGCGAGTTATTTTTTGTTTTTTCTTGTTTTCTTCTCCCTGTTCAGAACCTCTTGCGTACAAGGCCGCCCACGTGGATGTAGGTTGAGCGGCGGCTGCCCCCACCCCCGTGTGTCATATCGATCCACTTGCACACAGCCAAAGGGAAAAGAGGCGAAGAGAAGAGGAAGGGAACACAGCCAAATACAACAAAACAGGGGGCAACAAGCAACAGCACCAAAAACGGATCCTAGATGACAAGTCCCACGTGCAAGCACCGCCCCTCCTTCACAGGCCAAACGACAGGACAAGACCACCCAGGACAAAACTCTTGTCTGCAAAGAAAGAGAAATCCGTCATCAAGACGTGGGTATTGAAGGTATTCCCATTTGTAAACCGTTCTTACTGGGACAAAAAACATAAAAGACAATCCCAGATGACGATTCCCACATCAAAGCACCGCCCCCTCACACAGGCCGAACAACGGGAAGCAACCACAACTACCTTCTTCCCCCGAATACAACGTACGGTTATTATATCTGTATTTGAGGCATCTTTCAGTCTAGATTCAGCTATAATGACCGCACGTTGTATTCGGGGGAACAAGGTAGGATGCCAAAACAATAAAAGAGAACCCGGGTGACTGGTCCCACATGAAAGCACCCCTACGCTACGCTCGCCGAAATAGACCGAACAACAACGGGACCAAACCAACCGGGATGCAGCAGACAAGGTTACCAAAATAAATTCTACCATATCCATAGTTTAAAAAAAAGAAAAGAAAAAAACCGGAACCATACAGTAGGTCCGCAAAACGAAATAGCCCAAAAATGGGGAAGAATCAAGCAAAAAGAAAAAGGAGAAATGGTAGCAAGAGAACTAGGAAAACGTTTTCTACCATAACCAAAGAAAGAGCCTGCTACCGGTAGTACAGGCCCGACGCTCGCGGCATCATCTACAAAAACAGAGAGCTAGCAACGTCGGAGTATATATCGTCACATGAATAACTCGTATACATATTTCAGAAAAAAAACGGGTATGGCAAAATTGGTTTACGCACCACACTTAGGATGTGGCAGCGCTTCGCGGCTTGTGGGTTTGTATGCTTGACGATATTCACAGCCTCTCGTTTGTTGTCCTCTTCTCCCTCTCTGCCTACGGTTTACCGTAGGCAGTTCTGTTCGACGATATATATGCTACACCCCGATGGTGAGCTGAACTTGTCCAGATTCATTCCATAACAAGCACCCCCCCACCCCCCAGTACTTGCCCCCCCACGCCCCCTAAATCTACTCTACTTCATGTATGTTCTGCCTGAACGATAACCTAGGGNAAATAGGAGAGAGCTGGAAAGGGAAGGGTAAAAGGTGCAGCCCCTAGGGAATACACAGATCCAAGGAAAACCTCAAAAGACCATGACCCCAGACACTGCAACTATGTTTCTGAGGGACGCTGGACCCGGTTTCCAGTAGGTGCCGCTCCCCACCAATAGATGGAGCAGCCCAAGGAACAAGCCTTCAATCCCGGTGACTCTCCTACCGCCACCGAGATAGAGGGCTTGGAAAAGGGCTTTCTTCAAAAAAAATAAAATTGGAAAAGGGCTTTCTTCAAAAAAAAAAAAAAAAAAAAAAAAAGACGGTGAGCACTTTTAGGGTAAATGTCCGACAACGACACCGATCGCGAGACAGAATTGTTTTTTAGGCATCCCCTCCTTCTGTGCAATTTGGTGAGTGGTGGAGCGAGGCCCTAAGTAACTCGGAATTCTTGATTTGTTTTTTTTCCCAGGCGCAGTCTCCATTTCAGTTTCGAATCCCCTTCGCATGCATCCCTCGAATACAACACATCCACGCCTGACCCTAAAGCTGGGATGTATACATTCACGATTTTCCTCGGTCTGGCACAAAATCCGCGAAATCGTAACTGAAACGCACTTTTAAAGTGAAACCGTGACAGCGCCCTATCGGTATTTTTCCCTTTTCTCTACGTCACTCGGATTTCCACGACTGTGGCCTTGCAAACAATGCTCAACAGCAAAAAAAAAAAACAAAAAAAAAAAAGTGGCCATCTTTATCCAGCATGCTTTGACAGTATCAATATTATACGCTACTCACTTATTACACGGACCCTCCCTGGCCCTTGCCCGTCCGGGCCGCCCAGGCCGGACCCGGGCAACCAGTGTGACCGGGGTGGCCCGGTTCGCAACACAGCTACCGTCTTCCCCCGAACACAACACACCCTTATTTAGGCTGTCTCTGGCCGGAAATATAGCTTGTACACATTCATTTTTAGGGTGCGTTATGTTCGGGGGACGACGGTAATCACACCCTCAAGCGTACAATGTTGGCATTCTTGTCCCGCATGTTTCCGCAATACCAAAAAAATCTTCCGTCCAGTGGTAGAAACCTGAGCGGCCCACGTGTGCATCCACAAAAAAACTCATCTAGACTATCAGGGCCTGCTCACACTAGCATCATCTTGAAAGTATCTGACCGCATTTACTGCCAGAAATGTATGAATCTGGCTGCAATTCCGTCCAGAAACGACTTAAAAATTGCTATTTTCGGTCATTACACCTGTCTTTAGACTGAAAGATACCCCAAATACGCAATCATGAACGTACGTTGTATTATCGATGGGCTATAATGAACGTATGTCGTATCCTCCTCCCCCCCCCCACCACCAAAAATGGAGTATCATTATCTTTTTTTTTTTTTTTTCATTATCTTATTTTGAGACAGCTACCATAAATGTTTCAAGGAAACGTCGCAGGCAAAAACAACTTCGTATCAATGGGCTTCCGCTCCACCACTTACCAGATGTGTCAAACAGAGAATGCATCCTCCGCAAGAACATGGAAAGATACATCGCCATTTTTTTTAATTTTTCGTTTGTGAAATGTGGTGAGCGGTCCACCACTTACCGAATGTGCAAAACAAGAATGAATCTTCCGCAAGAACATGGAAAGATACATCGCCCTCATTTGCCTTTCATGCATATGGTGAGTGGTGGAGCGAGGCCCAATCTCTGTGCACAAGCAACCAAAATTTTCCGACGCACAAAAATCATATAGAAGAAAGAAAACGGATTTCTTAACGATTGCAATAAGCTAGCAGCATCACTGCTTATTTTTCTGCTTTTTCTTTTTTCCCTTTTTCTTCACATGATTATCTTAACAGATTCTTTTCAGCAAAGAAATCGTACCTGTGCACAAGCAACGGAAATTTTCTGCCGTCCTTGGAACCGTATCAGCGAAAAGCTATGCATAGAGAAAATACC